CTGGCTAAGACGTTGGTGGCGAGCGAGATGTTGGAGATTCTGACCGTGATCGGCAAGCAGAAAGACAACCCCAGCTGCCAGCACGTGCTCAAAGTGGCCCGTGACTGCCTCGTTAAATTCATGGACTATGGGCTGATCAAACCCATGTCTCAGCCATAAGGACATAGCCAGCAGAAATCCAAAACGATGAGGACTAGGAGAGCAGGAAGGCTGAAGACAGGCCAAAATCACAATAAGAAAACTGATGCATTTCCAAAGCTACATGAGCATTTCCAAAGCTACATAGGGAAATTGCCATCCCAACGAATTCCTATCCTAATGGTTTAGATGCATGCCCGAATTGGGTTCCTACTAGCAATTTTTCTTTCAGGAAGCGAACTGCCCGTTAAGGCTCCCTGGCTTTAGAGAACGTTGGATGTGTTCAAGGCCTTAGGGATCTGAAGGAGTCAACAGTGACTCACGAAAGCTCATACCCTACCACAAATTCTGTTAGACTTTGAGGTCCTACTGGACTCATAAGAACATAAGAGATGCCAATGTTGGATCAGGCCAAAGGCCCATCCCGTCCAACACTCTGTATCACACAGTGGCCAGAAATACCAGTGTCATCAGGAGGTCCAGCAGTGGGGCCAGGACATTAGAAGCCCTCCCACTGTTGACCCCCCCCCCAGCACCAAGAAGGCAGAGCATCACTTGCCCCAGAGTCCCTATCTATACCTTGTGGCTAATAGCCACTGATGGACCTCTGCTCCATATGCTTATCTGATTCCCTTTTGAAGCCGTCCATGCTTGTAGCCGCCCCCACTTCCTGTGGCAGTGAATTCCATGTGTTAATCACTCCTTGGGTGAAGGACTTCCTCTTATCCGTTCTAACCCAACCGCTCAGCAGTTTCATGGAGTGCCCACGAGTTCTTGTATTGTGAGAAAGGGAGAAAAGTACCTCTTTCTCTACCGGCTCTTTCCCATGCATAATTTTATAAACCCCTTTATAAGACTCTTACTCTTTTCAAAGCCTTAAGTGCCTCTATGTGTTTGTAACATGCCATAAAGTTGCAAGCTGACTTCTGGCAACCCCAAGAGACGAACAGATGGTTTGCCATGGCCTGCCTCTGCACAGCGACCCTGGCATTCCTTGGTGGTCTTCTATCCGATTACTAAGCAGGGCCAACCCGCTTAGCTTCTGCAATCTGACGAGATCAAGCTATATATGGAATTTTGTATTCCATAGATAGTGCCTCTATACGGAATAGAAAATTGCCCCTTTGGTCTTTTAGGAGTCACAGTGGTTTTTATAAGTATTATCCTTGCTATTTAATATATTTGCTTCGAGATAGGGGGAAACACAGACTTTTTGTATATCAACTAAGTGATTTTATGGGATTGCTGTCATTCTGGGATGGAAATTTCTTAATAAAAGTAGTTCTTGGTGGAAGGATGCACTTGCCTGGCTTGCTTAAAAATGGTGACGGGAAGTCCCATCAATTCACAGTTGAATTAGGGTGAGCCCCATGTTTGGTGTAGTGGTTAAGTGTGTGGACTCTAATCTGGGAGAACCGGGTTTGATTCCCCACTCCTCCACTTGCACCTGCTGATGTGACCTTGGGTCAGTCACAAGCTCGGGCACAGCTGTCCTTGAAAAAGAGCAGTTTGTGTCAGAGCTCTCTCAGCCCCACCCACCTCACAGGGTGTCTGTTGTGGGGAGGGGAAGGGAGAGGAATTTGTAAGCCGCTCTGAGACTCCAAGTGAAGGGCGGGGTATAAATCCAATCTCTTCTTCTTCTTCTTCTTTTCAAGGGAAGAGACTTCAGGGAGGGGGGTTGTCACTGCCTGCCTCTGCGGAGTGACCCTGGGCTTCCTTGGTGGTCTCCCATCCAAATACTAACCAGGGCCGACCCTGCTTAGCTTCCAAGATCTGACGAGATTGGGCTATCCTGGACCATCCAGGTCAGGGATGTGTTTGCCAGTGGCAGCTTTTAAAAAGATAATTGGGAAATATATCAATAGGTACAGCTCCCCCGGGACTTTGATCCTAGGTGTCCTACAGATACGATGATCCAAAGCCCAGAGTCCAACAGGGCTTCTTTCATTCATCACCGTGGTCTCCAAGGGATTAACACCAAGCAGGAGTTAAAGAGCTCAGTTGGCTTCAGTTTCGGTGGGACACCTTTCATGAGTACACCCAGCCCGAGGGAGCTACCAGTTACTCAGTCCGGGTTCCTGCCATACCTTGGCTATCTGACGGCTGGGATTTCTGCTACACCATCCTGGTCCACCTCTATGGAGGTCAGCCCAGAGCAAGACACCCTGCCAGAGTTAGACAAGTTTTGCCTGGCATGGTTATTGGGTGGTAAGAGGGAAACACAACCTTACCCCATGATCTGAGAAAGGCCTCCTTCTACAGGGGCAATGCACCACTGAAGATGGCTCACTGCAGGACAACCAATAGGGAAATGGCCCTTTGAGCCCTGTTTGGAGACTTCTGAAAAGCATCTGACAGACTGTATGAATTATAGCCCTGCTGGACTTCATGAGCCTTCTGTTAGATCCAAATTAGCCATGAGAAGGCAAAATGGAACTTCCATGGGCAGCAGCAGTCTACCTCTGAATACTGAAGGAAGTACACACAGCAGGTGAAGGCTGTCTGGTGTAGTGGTTAAGTGCGCGGACTCTAATCTTGGAGAACCGGGTTTGATTCCCCACTCCTCCACTTGCACCTGCTGATGTGACCTTTAGGCAAGCCATAGTTCTGGCACAGCTGTTCTTGAAAAAGAGCAGTTTCTGTCAGTGCTCTCTCAGCCCCACCTACCTCACAGGCAGGGTTCCCTCTAAGCTGAGTTAGTGTGAGCTAGCTCACAGTTTTTCAGCCTCCCGCTCACAGATTTTTGTCTTAGCTCAGGAAGGAGGGCTCCAGAGCAAACTGATTTGTGCAGCAGCCAAATTGCTCGCTCACACCTTTAATGCCAGCAGCTCACAAAGTAGAGGTTTTGCTCACAAGACCCCACAGCTTAGAGGGAGCATTGCTCACAGGGTGTCTGTTGTGGGGAGGGGAAGGGAAAGGAGTTTGTAAGCCGCTCTGAGACTCCCTTGGGTAGTGAAGGGTGGGGTATAAATCCAGTCTCTTCTTCACACCGAGCTTGTGAGCAACTCAGAGGTCAGCATACACAGAAGTAAACACACCCATGACTGTTGGAGAGAACACTGAAGCAAGCATATTTATTCTTTCATAATAGGAAGAAACCTACAGGAGGCAGGGTACAGTGGTTGACAGGCTTCATCCTGGTCAGTCCTGCAAAGTAGGCTGCCAACATGAGGTTGGACCCAGCCGGATTTTTCACTCAATATTACTGAACTCTCATCCTTATTGCAGCCCAAGTATTATTGAGACCCTAATCTAGCAGTTCTACCGCAGACCAACACAGCTGCTCTCTGAAACTATCTTACTGCAGCCACTGTCCCATAGGTAAATCCCATAATTCCCAGCATAGCCTTTGGGGGCAATCAAAGGGTCCGTCTCCTCCCCTTTTCACCAGTGGAGAAACCAGCTGAATCCAAATTGCTCCCTTTTCACATGTAGGGTAAGTAGCAGGGAAGAGCATTAAAAAAGTATAAGCTTCAACTCCAGGAAATGCAGCCCCCAGGGCGTCTTTCACTCTGCTGTCTTTGATCTTTGGGTTCTTCCATTTTGTCACACTTCTAAGGCATTAAAGCGTCACGCTTTCCTTTAACTGCCCAGTCAGAAGGTGTCTCTTTCTTCACAGTCGTCATCTCCTCCATTACCAAAGCTTCTTGTTTTGCTTTTTAATGGTCCGTTCAAAGGTAAGACAGCGGAGGTACGATAACAGGCAGCACAACAAAGAGTGCAGTCTCAAGGCAGGAGTTAACTAGGTCATCAACTAGAGATTTTACTGGGGGGGTAGAGGGAGAGAAAAGGCGAAAACGAAAACTCAGGAAACCCACCAAAGTTGGTAGGCAACAGATTAAAGCCTAGGGTTGCCAGTTCTGGGACAGGAAAGACCTGGAGACCGGGGGGGGGGGGGCTGGGGGGGGGGTTTGGGGGGGGGGGGGTTTGGCAAGGGGGGGGGCTCCAACGGGTCACCCT